TACCCATAGTAACATTTACTCATAGTGTCATTTGTTAGTCATAGCGTTACTCTTTCTCTTCCAATCTGAAGACCATTTATTTCTTTTTCTTGTCCAATTGCCCCAGTACAATGTTGACTACCAGTGACAAGAGTGGTCAGCCATGCCTTGTGTCTGACCTTGGTTGGAAGTTTTCACCACTAAGTAGGATATTAGGTTTGGGTCTTTTGAAGATGCCCTTTATCAAATTCAAATTAAGAAAATTCTTATTTCTAGTGTGGGATGTTTCTATCATGAAATCATGTTGGATCTTGTAAAATGCCTTTTTTGTATTATTAGGACGACCCTGTGACAATTTTGTTCTTTTGATTTGACATATTACATGAAATAATTTTTGAATGTTGAGATAACCTTGCATCCCTGGAATAATCCCCACTTGGTCATAGTGTAGAATTCTTTTGTATTTTGTTAGATTTGATTTACTAGTATTTTATAAAGGATTTTTGTGTCTGTGGTCATAAGAGATATTGATCTATGGTTGGCTTGTGGCACCTTTATTTGGTTTTGGTATCAAGGCAATATATTTGTAAAAAAAAAAAAAGTCACTTTCAAGAACGTTTATTAAGGAGATTATTAGAGACCTAGACAACAATGTCTGTTTGGAGAATAAGATGTGCTGGATTCAGGCCATGGTCTTCTCAATCATTTGGTATGTATCTGAGAGGGATGACAGAAGAAGTGATGCCTTTGACTTACAGTACTGTAGAAGAGCACTGAATATGCCGTGGACTGTCAAAAGAACAAATATGTCCTGGAGGAAGTCCATACAGAGTGCTCACTGGAGGCAAAGATGGTGAAGCTTCGTCTCACGTCCTTGGGCCATGTTGTGAGGAGAGGCTATTCCTTGCAGATGGAAATCCTACTTGGAAAGGTGAAGGGTCAACTAAAGAGAGAAAGACTTTCAATGAAGTGGATTGACACTGTGACTGCTGCAACAGGCTCAAGTGTGTCAGAGATGATGAGGATGGCACAGGATAGGACAGGCTTAGGGTCACTATGAGTTATATTCAATTCAATGAGACCTAACAACAATAGACAATAATTTGGCCATAGTGTCATTTATAACTGTTCAGTATCTAATCACAGATCATTGTATGAAGAAATATAAATGCCCATTCCACAGTCGAAAGCTGGGTAACCATGACTAAATTATAAAGTATATTTGTTATTATGGAAAAAAGACTGCAAAATGTGAAAGGATAGAAAATGCGGCAACAAAAGACAATGTAGAATACATTAAAAAAAATACTACGTGTACATAAGGGAGTTCGAGTGATGTAGTCTGTGGGGATCTAACTGCAAGGCTACCAGTAGTTCCACAGGAGAAATTTGGGCAATATCTTTCATGCAATTTACAGCTTTGGAAAACCCACTGAAAGGTCAGCTATGAGTCAATTCCAGTTAAAAAGCAGTGAGTGAGTGAATGTCATATGTACACACACATATATCATGTGTATATATAAATATAGATACACTCATATATATGCATATACACATGATATATGTGTATGTACATATGAAATTGATACAAAACTACAGCTATGGTATATATAACTGCAAAAGTCTTGAAAAATGGTAATATACAGTTATAATAAAAAATTTTGTTTATTTAATAAGTATTCATTACTAGTAAAATGAAAATATGTATGTTAAAAGGGAAAAAAAGGATTCAAGGGTGCTCTGATGGCCTAGTGGCAAGAAGCTGCGCTGCAATCCTAAAGGTTCATGGTTCAAATCCACCAGATGCTCCTTTGGAGAAGGAGGGACAATCTCTTCCTGTGCCAGTTGGAGCTGATTTGATGGTATACAACGAGAAGAAAAAAAAATACAAAAAAGAGAGGGGAAAAAAGGATTCAAAGATATTTTAGCAAGAATCCAATCCAAAACGTATGTTAAAAAAATGAAATATTTTAAATAGTTGAAATTGATTTTAGAAGAGGTCAATAATGATGCAACATTGACAAGAAATGTTTCAAATTAAACTTTACAAAAATATATACAGGATTTTATTTCTAAAAGTCTAAAACTTTACTAAAGAATATAAAAAGAACTTTTATAAATGGACATGCTACATTTTTTATTGGAAAACCTATTATTATAAAAATGGGCACTATCATCAAATTAATATTTTCTACATTGACATAAAAATCATAGTTGGCTTAATTTTAAATATGTGATGAAAGAGGGATACAATTAAATCAGAGAATGATGAATATTAAGCAAATAGTGCTGGGCTATCTCATTAACTATCTCTTTAAAAACAAACTAGACACTTATCACACCATATATCAAAATAAATTCCAGGTGGATTGAACTATTAAATGGAAGATCATTTCTCTGATTTGGAAAATTATAAGGCCATCCTAATTATACAGGCAAAAATTGAATCTTAATGACAAAGTTAGAAGGATCAAAGTACATAAAAATTAAACTAAACTATATGTTCAATAAACAGAAATAAAAGGCAGTAACTGGAAAAATGTTTGCAGCATATATCAAAAAAGTTACCATCCTTACTAAGCAAAGAGATTTTGCAAATCACTAAGAGAAAAAAAAATAGCATACTTTTTTCCAAAATACGAAGAAACCATCAATGGAATAAATAAATAAATGCCCAGCAGATGCACTGTAAAAATGTTTATCCTCAAAAAAACCTTTAAAATGTAGCCTTTAAATAAAAAAGCTTCATCTATCTATACCTCAATCTATATATCAAAGTCCCTGGGTGGTATAAAGAGTTAATATGCTCCACTGCTATCTGAAAGGTTGGAGACATGAGTCCCTGTGGAAAAGCCTACTCCTGAACCTACAACCTAGGACCTTCTACAACATACTTCTGAAAAATCAGCTACTGGAAACCCTGTGGAGCCCAGTTTCGCTCTGACACACCTAAGTCACATGAGCTTTAGCTGACTCAACAACAATTGTCACACATCTATCAAATCGGGAAAGCTAATGCTGGTGAGTGTGCGGCAAAAAGGTTCTCTGCTAGTGGAAATATAAAATGTATACAGCCCTCTAAGACCAAAATCCAAAGCCTGTTGTCATTGAATTGATTCCCACTCATGGCAACCCACCCCTTGGGTTTCTGATGCACTAAGTCTTTACAAGGGGAGTCTATCCACCTTCCTGCGGAGGAGTTGGTGGATTTGAACAGCTGACCTTTTAGTTAGCAGCTCAACGTGTAATGTGCTCTGCCACTAATGTTCTGAGAAAACTAGAAAACATGTCAACAAGTTTACCAATGTCTATATTCTTTAAACCAGATACTCCAGAAATTCTTCCTCCAGTCAGTGGATTCCACACATAACTGTGCTCATTGACTTAGTTAATAAAGAACCTAACAACAGCGTCAAAGAGCCTAACAATAGGGATTGGCCAAGTAAATTATGTACTTGGTTACAATGGGATACTAAGAAGCTAATGTAGACACTTTTCATCACAGCAGGCAGCAAAATAGCAAGAAGTCCATTTGTATAAAAGATCCAGAGATGTGCATATGGCATAAACATCTAACAACATGTAAACAGTAGTTTTAAAAGTATGATGAGATTATGCAGGCTTCATTCTTCCCTTTTCCTCCTGATTTTTGTTTTGTTCATTCAACAAGCCTTTATTTGCTTCCTATTGTGTGTTAGACCATGTATATGTTCCGAATTTTCTTCTATTAAATGTCAGGAGGGGCCCTGGTCCTTAGAAAAAGATAACGTACTCGGAAAGTAGAGGGTCAAAGGATGAAGACTCCCGACAAGATGAACTGATACATTGATTCTAACAATGAGCTTGAGCATGACCAGGGGTAGTGAGGATGGTGCAGGATGGGGGAAGATTCAGATCTGTTGTTCACAGGGTTACTATGAATGGCACCCAACAACAACTACAACAGATAAGTGTTACTTTTAAATGTTAGAGTTAACTTCTCCAAAATTCCACTTTGTAAAACAGATGTCCAGATGAAAAAAAAAAAAAAACAAAACAAACAAACAAAAACTTAGGAAGAACTCAGAGTGAATATAGGAAAGTCCTGTTCCTTCTACTAAAGCATAAAATACTGTAAAAAAAGACTATGTGACATTTTCAGGTCACTCTGTGTCCTACCTTTAGAAACACACCATAAAATAAACTTACCTGTTACAGCTTGATCCATGATTTGTTTTATTCACTAAAGTGTAGGTTTTACTTGCACTTGCTTAACAAATTTGTGGTGAACAATCTCACATATTTCACATCAAAGACTATTTCTAGGTATGACTGTCCCTCTCACAACCCCACCGCATCTTCCTTCAGAATTAGTGTCTCTCTATTCAAATTTATAGAAAAGGAACACCAAATAAGCAAAGTGAACATGAGTTTACTCTTGTCTGTTTACGCACTGAATACTTGTGTTTATTTAGAAATCTGATAAGTAAATAAACACAAGTGAGCCAATGTTTGTCTTGTTTACTTGGTAATCCACCCCTGCTCCTACAAATATGTATGTGGACAGCTATTAAGGACCCCCTCTTTACATCCTAATCTCACTGCCCTGGGGCCAACCCACTCATAGCTGACCCTCCATCGTGCTTTTCAGAGGCTGTTAATCACACGGGAGGAGACTGACCATTTAATTTATCTCCGGAGATTGTCCATCTCATCTTTCTACCGAGGAACAGTTTATGGATTCGAACCATTTGCCTTTGAATTGGCAGCCAACTCTCCACCCACTAGGCCACCAGAGCTCCCAAATATATTCCTCACAGTAGATCACGTAACTCTCAAGAGTTTAAAATCCATTGTTATTGACCTCCCCTGGCCCCCAAAACAATCAGTGTGTAGACATAACTGCTTTTGTGAGTGGGATGTTTGGGTTGGAAGGGGCTTTGGCTTGCCCAGGGATGAACCCCGGTCCAGAGAGGGGTAGGCAGCGGTGAGTGGGAAGGGTGTGGGGTGTGCGGGCGGGGGCCCAGGGTCTGGCGCCTTACCGCTGCTTGCTGGAAGGCGCCTTTGGTGTAGGTTCCGCCGCCGCGGTAGGTGATGGCCGGGATCTCACGGCCGAGTAGCGCGCACTTGTGCTGGTGCGCGCGGCGGGCGGAGATGTAGTCGACGCGCGGGACCACGTTGTTCTTGGACGAGAAGGTCACGATGGCCACGCGCGTGGCCGTGGGCACCACGGGGAAGTCAGACAGCAGCTTGCGGACGAACTTGAGCTCGCTGAGGAAGTTGGCTTGGCCCACGCTGGACGACTCGTCCACCAGGAAGACGAGCTCTAGGCGCGCGCTCAACTCCCGCAGCCGCCGCACGCGCCGCCGGAACGCCTGGCCCAGCCGCTCCAGTTTGCTCTCGGCCGGCTCCTCGCTGGGCTCGGGCGGCGCCAGCAGCCGCCCCGGGGACCCCGGCGCCGCCTCAGGGAAGACGCGGAAGCTGAAATGGGGCGACGGGGACATCTGCTGAAAGGTCGTCCAGCCCGAGACGAGCGCCAGACCCCAGTAACAAAAGGCCAGACGCGGCCACATAGCGCTGGAGACGGAGCGGCCGCTGGGAGCGCAGGCGGCGGCCCCTCGTGGAGAGACGCCCGAGGACGGGCGCACAGAGGGGCGTGAGCGGGGGCAGCGGCCGAGCCTCAGAGCCTTTTCATCTGACACTGGGGACAAGACCAAGCCTCCTCCAGCAGCTGAGACTCGGGAGAGAAAGGCGTGCGCTCTACCCCTCTCGCTCTTGCCTTTTTTTCTTCCCTATTCTCCTCCTCCTCCTCCTCTCTCTCCCTGAAGCCTATAAAATGTTGGAAGGAAAGGGGGCAGTCAAGGAAAAAAAAAATCTCCTGCTTCCCTCCTTTGCTCCCTCCTCTCCCAGTCCCTTCCCTCTCCCCGTCTATCTCTGCTTCTATCTCTCTCCTCCCCCTCTCATTCTCTTCCAGGGATCAAGCCAAAGACCCGGAGATTCCATGACACCAGAGCCCCGCGTCTGTCAGGCTGTCAACATTCCCGCAGCCAGCGCACCAGCGTTGAAGTCCTGATTGATCCCATATGTCTGGCAGGAGCTGTAGAGGAATTCACTGGAGATGGATCCAGATACCGAGAGTGCCACAGTAATTGGAAACACTTTGTAGAGGAAAACACACCCGTGGACTCACCAGGGAGTTGAAAGCATCTTTCTAAAAACTGCTTGCTCACCTTTTGTGTCGTCCTCCTACCCCCCTCGCCCCTTCTAGGGCCTCAGAATTCTCACCTAATAGATGTTTCCTTGACTTGCCTGGTGGGGATTTCTGGTTAGTTTGTGTAGGCGACCTCTTGACCTCTTAGACTACATCTTATAGAGGTTGCATCTGTCCAAACACAGAAATTGTTTGACAGGACTCTTCATTCATACATTTCTTTGTTCATCCTTGTGCTCTTTCTTGCATTTATCCAACAAATATTTTTTGAGTAACCGTTATATGACAGTATGCATGCTAAGCATCAAAAAAACAACGAGGGAAAAAAAATATGACATGGGTCTTGTCCTTAAGGAATTTGGTGTGTACCACAATGTCAACTCTGACTCAGACGGGCCCTGGAGGACAGAGTAGAGCTGTCCCGCAGGCTCTTCTGGCCTGCACAGAAGCAGACTCATATTTTCCTGCCTCGGAGCGGAAACTCGGGGACCTTTTGGTTAGCAGCTGAACACTTTCCCACTGTGCCACCAGGAATCCTAGGAACTTGGAGAGTAGCATATAAAGTGGCTTCAGGCCTGCTTATCAGCCCTGTAGGACAGGACAGAACTGCCTTGTAGTTTCCAAGGCTCTAAGTATTTACTGGAGCAGAGTGGCACGTCTCTCTAAAAGAGCAGTGATTAGTAGGTTTCTACTACTGCCCATTCACTTAGCGATTCACAAGCTTAATCTAAGGTGCAGGGCTTTATGAGGAGTATGGCATCAATATGGGAAGAAGACTCATTAACAATCTACCATATGCAGATGACACAACCTTGCTTGCTAAAACTGAGGAGGACCTGAGACATTTGCTGCAGAAGATCAAAGAGTGTAGCTTTCAATATAGATTGAAGTTCAACGTCAAGAAGACAAAGATTTTCACCACTGGGCCAATTGGCAGCACCATGATAGATGGAGAAGACATTGAGGTTGTTAGCAATTACAGCTTGCTCAGATCCACAATCAACACTCTTAATACCAGCAGTCAGGAAATCAAAAGACGAATTGCACTGGAAAAATCTGCTGTCATGGACCTCTCTAGAGTGCTGAAGAGCTATGATTTCAGTCTAGATACAAAGGTGTGCCTAATCCAGGCCATGGTCTTCTCAATTACTTGCTGTGCTCTAGAGAGTTGGACAATGACTAAGGACGACAGAAGAATAGATGCCTTCGAGTTGTGGTGGTTGGAGACTTGAACATAGCATGGACTGCCAAGAAAACAAACTGGTCTGTCTTGGAGAGGGTGAAACCAAGTCTCTTCCTAGAGGGTAGGATTTTGAAGCTCTGCCTCATTTACTTTGGGTATGTGGCCAGGAGAGATAGGTACTTGGAAAAGGACATCATGCTCAGAAGGGTGGACAGACAGCGCAGAAGAGGAAGACCCCGGATGAGATGGATTGATAACAGTAACTGGGGCAATGGGGGTTGGTGTTTCAGAATTAGTGAGACTGCCTCAGAACAGGGAAGGTTTCAGAGCTGCTATACATAGGGTTGTTATACATCACAGACAACTCAATGGCACATAACAACAGTAACATATTAACAGTAACAGGATTGGAAGCAAGAGTGGCATTCAATTTCTAAGTAACTTGCCTCAGGAAACTCTACGAACTTTGATAAATTTCAATAGTAGAGGGGCTTCAGGCCTTTAGTTCATTGGTTCGCTATGAGTCGTTCTCAACTTGAAGGCAATCAATAACAATAACCCAAGGTGCTACCAGGGCTCTGAATGAGGTAACTAAACACTCACAGAAATAAATACACAATTGCAACTGCCCATGCTAAGTGCTCCTAAGAGAGTTATGGTGGGTAATTGGACCTTTGTACTTTCTGGGAAGGTTTCTCTGAGGGTTCACATAATGAAATACCAAGAATGAGTTGAATTCCCCTTTCTTTGGCCATCTTCCATGTTGTTACATGTTGTGAGCAGCCACAACCCTTTGGACAACGGATCTAAATCCTCACTGTCTCTGATACACTTGACCCCATTGCTACAGTCACTGTGTCAATCCATCTTGTCAAAGGTCTTCCTGTCTTACATTGACCCTCTATCTTTCTAAGTATGATGTCCTTCTCCAAGGACTGGTCTCTCCTTACAACACACCCAAAGTGTATGAGATGAAGCTTTGCCATCATCCTGGTTTCACTTTCTCCAAGAAGACTTGTTTGTCCTCTTAACAGTCCATGGAACACATTCAGTACTTTTCTCCTACATCACAACTCAAAGACAGTGATTGTTCTGTCATTCATGGCATGTTTCAACAGGGGAAGCCCATACCCATACCCATAACCTGTCATCTAGCTAGCTCTTTTTTAAAATTTCTTTTAATTAATATTTTTCTTTTATACTGGTTTACCTACAAAGTTAATATACATTGCCTCTCACACCAGATCCACCCCTCTCAACCCACTTGCTCTCTACCTATCAAACCATGCAACCCCATGATCACCCCTCTCCCATCCACATCCCTCTGTCCCCTTTCCCCTCTTAGATCCTCAAACATATTATTTATCTACTTCTATAATAAAGGTCTTACATAGTATTTGTCCATATGGGACCGAGTTAGTTCACTTAGGAAAATGCTCTCGAGTCTCTCCCAAGTTAAGTCGTGTTTTTAAAAAATTATTGCTTTTTTGTGCTGCATAGTATTTCATTGTGTGAACGTACCATTTCTCAATCCATTTGATTGTAGTTGGACATTAGGGCTGTTTTCATATTCTTGTGATGGTGAATAACGCTGCCATGAACATTGGTGTACAAGGCTCCATTTGTGCCTCAGTTCTCATTTTCTCAGGGTATAGTACAAGTAGTGGAATAGCTGGGTCATATGGAATCTCTATGTGCATCTTTCTGAGGTAACACCAGACTGCCTTCCAGAGTAGCTATACCATTTTACAATCCCACCAACAATGTATAAGGGTTCCTATCTCACCACATCCTCTCCAACATTTATTACTTGCTTTCCTGTTAAACTTTGCAACTGTTACTGCAGTGAGGTGGTACCTCATTGTGGTTTTGGTTTGCATCTCTCTTACTGCCAGTGATTTGGAGCATTTCTTCATGTGTCTGTTGACCATCTGAATATCTTCCTCTGTGAAAATGCTTTCCATGTCTTTTGCCCATTTTATAATTACGTTATCAATCTTTTTCTCCTGGAGGCCCTGTAGGATTCTGTAAATTTGTCATATTAGACCCTTGTCTGAAATGGTATTGCCAAATGTTTTTTTTCTAATCAGTAGGGTTTTTTTTTTTCACTCTGCTAGAAAAAGGTTTTGATCAACATAGGGATTTAATCTTTAGAAGGTCCCATTCATCAATTTTATCCTTTCCAGAATGAGCATTTCTGGCTGTATTTGGCTATATTAGTCTCTTTATACCATAGACTAGGCCATCTAAGCTTGATCACAGTTTGTCTCTGAGTTTTATGGTTTTGAGCTTTACTTCCAGGTCTCTGATCCACCTTCAGTTGATTGTTGTGTATTATGTGAGATGTGGATCTTGTTTCAGCTTTCTGCAGGTAGCAGTCCAGTTTTGTCAGCACTGTTTGTTGAAGAGGTTGTCATTTCCCCATTTGATAGGTTTTATTTTCTTGTCGAATATCAGTTGGCCATAGATAGCTGGGTCCTTTTCTGGGATCTCAATTCTGTTCCATTGGTCTATGTGCTTGTCATTTTACCAGTACTATGCTGTTTTAGTTACTACAACTGTGTAGTAGATTTTTAGGTCAGGGAGTCCTGGAATGTTTTTTTGTTTTTGCCAAAGAAAACACCCACAAGAGAATGGTGTGCGTGCAAAGGAAGAGCACGTTTTGGATGAGAGGCAAAGTCTCATTGTTAAAAAATTCCAGTCAGGTGTCGGGAATCCTGGAATGTGCTTCTGCAGTCCTGTGAACCACCTGATCCAAGTAATTTTCAATCCAAAGATTCTTCATCTATTACATGACAGAATTGAATGATCTCAAAGTTTCCTGTCTGTCTCTAGATCTGATGACTTATTTCTGTCTTCACTTAATGAAATGTCTTCAGTAAGAGGCAGCAATGCATTTGCTTAAATTGTTTGGGATCTGGAGTCAGTTTGCCTGGAATGAAATCTTGGCACCAACTTTCACTAGCTGTGTGACCTTGACATCAGTTTGCTCATCTTATAATGGAGTAATAATGATAACATAGCAAAGATTATTGTAAGCAATAAGTCATTAAAAAGTAAAGATTAGGACAGTGCTTACGGCATAGTATGCACTCAAAATGCTGTTATTATTGATGACATCTGTCATGAATGTTCTCCAAATACTAATTTTTAAATAAATATTTTTTGAGCATCCCGTA